TGGAAAGTGTCAAGGATGACAACCCTAGTCTGGTATAAGTAGTTAGATGATGCCACTAAATGAAATGAGGAGAGGTAGAAAGGAAGAGTTCATTTTTGGCCACATTGTTAGCATTGCCTATGAGGCAGCCAGGTAGAGATGTAAAATACTTATAAGAATATGCAAGCTTGGCCCAGAGGGAGAAGTCTGAGCCGAAGATGAAACTGGGATCCATCAGTATATGGATCATACTGGAAATCATAGGACTAGAGGATGTCCCATAGGAGTTTTATGGAAAGGAGAACCAAGACTTGAGCTCTGGGGTATACAGTCTTCAGGAGCAATAAAGCAGGAGGAAGAAACAGTTGAGGAACAGGTAGTGAGACGGTAGGAAAACCAGGAAAGGTGTGATGTTGTGGAAGCCAGACAGGAAGTACCTGACACTGCTGATTGGGAAGGCTTGGACAGCAGTAAGGGTTAGGCTTGACCTGATGGCACATTAAAACTCCAGGAACAATACAATGCAGATAGTAATCATACATATTTATTACAGCAATTCAGAAAAGTTACAAAACTGATGAAAGCAGGAGCCGAGTATAAATAAAATAAGCACCAGGCACATGCTATTTCTCCACGTTAGGAACATAATTATTTTGAACCACTCTCTCTCAAGCAGCCTTTGGAGTCTGTTCACCACTAGAGTTTTAGAACAGTGTCCTATTGACGAGACTATGCCAAAAGTGCTTTTCTTCTCACCATCCTGTAAAGAGCTGCTTGGTTAGAAAAGCCTTTGGTCAACCTCTGGATTTCAGACAAGTAGCTGCTTCTTTTGAGAGCAGTCTAAGGTCCCCTTCTGCAGAAGCAATGATGCTCTTGTACAACAAAATCACCCTTCTGTGATTTTTTTCCCCCATCTGGAACAGACAGGCCTCTGTGCTGTTCTCTGAAGAAAGTATCTGGCGCCACTCCCTCCCCCTTACATTCTCAGCTGGAAAAAAATAGCCCATGAGCTGTCCCTTTCATACTGCTGGCCTGTGGGGTGGTAAGTCTGCTTCAGATTAATTCAATTAAACACCTCCAGCTGCATCTGTCAGACATCTTTTTTTATGGGCCAGATTTATTTTGTTAATAGGATCAACATATGTTATATACAAAGGTAACCATTAAATAATTATAAACAAATAATTTCATCACACATTCCCAGCCAATTTTGCATCTCCTGCCAGATACAAAACATTTACTTTAATAAATTTACAGTGAGCAATTTGCATAAAACCATTGAAAGTGGGGATATTTTCAAAGCAGCTGCTTATGTGATGTGATTAGCAAAATCTCCCCATCCCCCATTCCCACCCACACAAGCCATTAGTCATTCCTTTGAATTAATACATTGAAGGCCTCTGTTAAAATTAAAATATTATCTCCTAATAGAGAGACAAATGAAGCTATTAACATTTAGCTTGAGTTAGTTGATTGAATTCCTTAATCACTTAGCAAGGTCCTTTGTGAAAGCGACCCAGCAGCTGTTAAGTTTTGAGGAGGGAAAGGAAAGGTCCAGAACGTTCCCTTGGATGGAAGTTCTGTACAGAGCTCTGGTAAGCCAAGGCCCCTTTCTGAAACACTGGAAACCCAGGTGCATGGGAGACGGCTAAAATTCAAAGGATGGGCTCATTTCTAAAAGGTGAGAAAAGCCATTAAAGGCAAATCTCCTTTGCTGTCAGTTCCGCCAAGAGTGAGCTAGATTTACTCAGGTACATGCTTAATGCAAGTGGTCACTTCTTTACCTTTTAGAAAAGTCTCCATTGCTCTGTGGGGATCTTACCAAGTGAGACTGAATAACAATTTGCAGGGCCCAACTGATTTCTCTCTTCAATTTGTGACTCATTTTTTTTGTAGATATACTTTTTCTGTTTTGTTTTAAACTATCAAACAGCATTTTCTCCCCCCCCCTTTTTTTGTATTTTAGAGACAGAATTTCTCTGTGTAATAGCTCTAGCTGTCCTGGAACTTGCTCTGTAGACCAAGTTGGCCTTCAACTCACAGAGATCCACCTGGCTCAGCTTCCCGAGGAGTGCTGAGATCAAAGGTATGTGCCACCACGCTGGTCTCAAAACAAATTCTTTTTTGGGGGGTGGGGTTCAAGACAGATTTTCTTTGTGCAGTTTTAGTGCCTGTCTTGGATCTCACTCTGTAGACCAGGCTGGCCTCAAACTCACAGAAATCCGCCTGGCTCTGCCTCCCAAGTGCTGGGATTAAAGGCATGCACCACTGCCTCCCGGCTCAAAACAAAGTCTTAATGCAGAATATCCAGTTATCAAAAGATTTCCATAAATACTAACGTTAGTTCTAGGTTCACATTGTGTACAGGGTGTTACTGGACTCTTCTATACATGTGCTGACACACATATAATTTGCTCACACAAATGGGAATGATTTACACTTGTTCAGTATACTTCCTCTTTTTCACTTGTTTTCTGTGGTAGAATATACATAACATACAATTTGCCACTTTAACCACTTTTCAGGTTCATTTAGTTGCAGTAAGTACTTTCATGAAAGAAATTATTTGTAGAAAAATTTCAAAATCCCAGATGGAAACCATGTATGCTTTAAACAACTCCTCATTCCCTCCTGCCCCTGGTCCCTAGTAACTGTCATTCTATCTCTAGGATCCTTCCTCTTTTAAATTAATTGTAAAAATTCAATGAAAAAGTTTGAGAAATACTAAACAACATATACAATACTGGATGCTGCCTGTCATGGTTTGGGTCTGAAACATTCCCCAAAGAGCTTATGCGTTGAAGGCTTTGTCCTCACTGGACCAATCAATGTTCAGAGGTGGGCCTTCAGGAATGAACTTTAACATCCTCAATTGATTTGTCCATTGATGCATGCATGGTTTAAAGGATTATTGGGAGGTGGTAGAAACTCGGAGGTGGGACCTGGGTATTATAGGAAGTAGGCCCTTGGGGTGCGTGCCCTCCAGTGGTATACGGGGACTCTGAACTCTTCTTCTTCCCACCCTTCTCTTTTTCCTATGAAGCAAGCTACTTTACTCCATCATAATGTTCTACTTCACTGTAGGCTCACAAACTGTAGGACCAGTGACTACGGACCGAAAATTCTGAAATCCTAATCCCAAACAAATCTTTCCTCCTAAATTGTTTCTCAGATTTTCATCACAGTGACAGAGAGCTGACTAACACATTTTCCCTCTTAGGACTGACCTCCAGGAAACCAGCACAACCAGTTTCTGAGGTATCTTTACAGAGACCACGCACATATATACAAAGTTCCTCCTTTCTTTTCTCACCACTAGCTAGGAGCATATCACACCCAGTTTTGTACTTACCTTTTTCCCACTAATATCCTAGGTCCCTCAGCAGGCAGACTAACTCCAGACAAATGTTTGTATAGAGCACACACACACCAAATATACATAGAATTATTTTTTAACACTTATGTAGTATATTTGCCTACTCTGCTATGCCAGAATCAGCAGACTTTTCTGACTCATTAACTAAAAAAAAAAAAAAAATCATTTCTTTGTGTCACAAGTCCCATGGCATTGAATTTACTCCTCTGACCATTTCCCAGGATACAGTATAATATTATCAACCCTATGCAACAAATCCCTAGAATTGCCCCCATCATTTTATTTTGCATTTTCCTGGTGGATAGTCACGTTGAACACCTTATTATCTACTATCCCCCCCCCTTTTTGAGAAATACCCATCCCTTTGTCCTTTGCCCATTTAAAAACACAGGACTCCTTTATATATCATATATGGTGTTCCAGTATTTTCTCCCATTCCCAACTGTGATGATTGTGTGCTCTGCTGCGTAGGTGTTAGGTGCTCTGTAGTCTCGTTTGTCATTTGCTTTTCTTGTCTGTGCTTGGGTATGACGCATTAAGTTTCACATCTCCCAGTGCTGCACTTCCCTTAAGGTAACGTGATTGGGTTTTCCCCTTCATTTCCACTCCAGAGTTCTCTAGCACACTGTTTAACAGCGCTGTTGGCTGACTGCTATTGGTTCCCGGACAGGACACACCCAACTACCTTCATTTTTTTTTTCTGGATTTGTTCCCAAGCACCATAATAGGAGGCTCATGTGAAAAGGACTGTTTTCTGATTGCTTTCCTCTTCTCTCTTTTTGAGTGGAGCTCAAAACAGTATCCTCTGGAGCAGCTTCCTTCTCTCATCCACCTTAAGTGGGGCAGTGGTCTTTGAGCCAATGATAGGTCAATAGGCAGGCTGATTCCTAAGCAATGGGAGGCTCCTGGGTTGCAAATGGACCGATCATCTTACTAGTGACATCGAATTCCTGGATAGCTAGCATCTGCTTCATTGACCTCTTGTTAATGGCCATCTTGTCTTGTTGGTCAAGGATCTGAAGGTGCAAAAGAAACCTTACCCACCATACACTTTTAGGGTTTTAATCCACCCCAACAACTTGTGCCCAAGGCCAATAGAACACAGCCATTCTCCCTTTGTAAAAAGAAAAAGGGGTTGGGTTTCCTTCAATTGTCTGCCCTTCTCTGTCTCCACTATTTTTGTTTTACTCTCTAGTTAACTTTGCATAGAACAGCTTCACCAGTAGGACCTGTGCGGAGGATTCAGGCAGACTCTTCTCATTGGCGGGTGTAACGGCCTTTTCCTTGCTCTAATCTGGGGGTTTGTGGAGGTAGTGGGTGGTGGGTGGGAGAAGAGTTTGGCCATAGTCTTCCCTCTGCACTTCACACGTAGTACCCGCCCGCAGACACACGCACAACACACACACACACACACACACACACACACACACACACACACACACACACACACACACACACGCCTGCTCAGGCCCCTTCTCCCTGTGTCTTCCATCAAGATGACAGGGCGCTGGAGAAAAGGCTGCTGGAATCAGCTGGTAGGTACAGTAGTAATCTGAACCCCACCCACCCGCTGCCTTTGCTTGCTCAGGTTTCTCCGGTCACTCCTGCCAGGGGAGAAAACATGTAAGCGCGCCTCCAGAGGAGGGGCTCGGGGAGCTGGGAGTGGCGGGGCGGCGGAAGGTGAGCCTAGGAAGGTGGCCCGGCGCCCCTTCTGCCCGGGCCCCTCCCAGTGCTCCCTCGGGGTGTCAGCTTCGGCTCCGCTTGCTCCCACTCCACCCTCCTTTCGAAGGGATTGCCTTTTTTTTCCCCCCTCTGCGGCGGCGGAAATGACAGTGTGGTGCTGCGGTGGTGTCATGGTGCTGCCTCTGGACTGAGAGGCGAAAACTCCTAAGTTTCGCCCGGGAGACCCAGACGCGGGAACGTCTCGGTCTCCGTGCTGTCCCCTGTGGGGCGCGCGGGCTGGCGGATCCCGGCTGCTGCGCGGCAGCGGCGGCGGCGGCGGCGGCTGCAGCAGCGAAGGCGGGCGGCGGCCTAGAGTGGTGGTGGCGGCGGCGGCAGCGACAGCGGCCCGGGAGCTCGCACGGGAGCCCAAGCCAGCTTGCTGCGGAGGCCGGCGAGCGCCCGGCGCTCTCAGGCGCGCGTAGGAGATGGCTGGCACCCGGGAACAATATGGGTAAAACGCGTCCCCTCGCCGCGGCCCTGGGGGGGTCTAGTGTCGCCGCCCGCCGGGGCTCGGCCCCGGCTCCGGTTGCTCTTCAGGTGCTGCCGGGGCCGGCGCTGGCCGAGGACACCCGGGCTCGGCGGGAAGGGGGGAGGAGGGGGGAGACGGGGAGACCGGGTCTGCAAGGCTCCAGGCGGCAGTAGCGGGGCCCAGGGTGTCTGTCACACTGTGGTGACCTGGGTTCCTGCCGCTGCCCTCGTGGGAAGGAGTTTGCACTCCTAGATCCCAGGCAGGGGAACGGCCCGAGGCCTCCCGCTTGGCCAGGCCAAGCCGGGAGAAAGCAGTGGAGCGGCTCTCCTGGCGCCTAGGCGCAAGTCTGGGAAAGGGCGCAGCCGCCTTCCCACGCTCCCGCAATCCACGGCGTCCTCGGCCCGGGCGGCACCCCTAGGTTGGCGGTTTGTTCGGCGGTGCTGGCGCAGCAGCCTGCGATGCTGCGGACACCCGGCCGGCGGGATCCCGGGAGAAACTTAATCCCCTTTTCACTGGGGAAAGGATCTTCAAGTCTCTGTCCCGGTGGTTCCTTATTTCTGGCCTAGCTGTGAAAGCAGCGCCGTGGGGGAGAGGGAAAACTTGAGTGTGTTCACAGGACACACGGCTACTGAAGCAGGGACATGGGAGGCTTTTCCATTTTGGGTTCGTAAGAATTAAGTAAATAACGGCAGAGCAGATTTACTCTAACCTTACTGGTGATGAGCTGGTTTAGGTTATTTCGCACTTCACGTGCAGCAGCACATTATATATTTATTTTGGAGGCATTTCTATTTCGAGCAGGAAATTAGGACCCTGAGATGATCGGACTCCTCACTTTTTGCTCTCTTCCGCACTCCTTATGCACTGTCGCTATTATGTCTCGTATTCCTGCCTCCCAACATTTGCCCACCCAGATCTCTCACCAGAGTCCCGCACTCTCAGCTTTGCTCTATCAACCTGTGCACATCCAGCAACGCAGATTCTTGCTTTTGAATCACTTTGCTTTTTTTTTTTTTTTTTTTGAAGGTTGCTGGCGGTGGGGCTGGTGAATGGCAGTTGTGTGTCTCCGAGGGGGAGTATTTATAAAGGAAAACACTGGAAACTGTAATAATAGACAACTGTTGAGTGGGGATTAATTAATCCGATTCTCAAATTGAACCATAAGGGCTGATTTTAATCCCATTCTACTTCCTCTCTGAAATCGAAACAGATTTCTGGTAATATTCCAATAGGAGATGGGTTGCCAAATAGAGAGTTCATATTCCTCACTTCGGCTTACAGAGCTTTTGCTATACTCTGGATTAACCCCCCCCCACACACACCTTTTTTTTTACCTCCTCCCCACTCATCACTGCCCTGAGGGAGAGTCAGTCTTTGCTATTTTTATATATTACTGCTCAATCAATTAACTTAATGCAGACTCATAATGTGAATTAAATTTCTCTTGATTGTTTCTTACAAAACTTGATTCATGTGGTTGAAGCACAAGTCTTGGAGCCAAGAAGATCAGAGAGTCCATTCCAAATGTGAGGTTGCATTGGCTTTACGGCCTTTGGACATTTGTATGACCTCTTTCTTTCACAGTCGCTGCACTTGCATAAAAGGCATAATATTATGTACTGGGTATTGTGAGTATTGGCTTGGTCCTTTGAAGATAAAAGGATCCTATAAACCTCAGCATTATACTTTTCAATGAAAGCACTTCATTTATCCCTTATTGGGTTACTGGGTTGACTGGGTATAAACGGGAACACTAATTTACAGAAACCTTAATTTGCCATTATTAGTCCCCTTGGGATTCAAATTGCCATTGTAATTTAGACCTTAAGTCAATTTGTTTCACCAAATGTATGCGTAACTGAATGGAAACATATACAATTAGGCATAGAAAGTAATGGTGATGATTTTAAGTCGAGTCATTAATCATATTGATTGCGCTCTAACCTAACAATCTGAGTCAGACTCATTTGAATATACAACCTCACCCATTTTTAGCCGACATGGGGGCAGTTAGTTAATGCCCAATAAAAAGTGGCATAGATAGTTTTAGTTCTGGCTATACAAGTATGATTAGCACCTTGCAGCAATGAGTCAATATTTTTTAAAGCACCTTTAATTTAGTACAGAGGCCTCTGCTGGCTGGGTTGAGGCCTCAGGCATGACCCAGTATTTGGGGCTCATATTTGTCCTATGCTGAACTCTACTTACAGCTCCATGGGACAGGGTTACGGTGGGAGAGTGTGATGTGTGGAGTAGGAAGAGAGGTTATGGGCCACGGAGGGCTCTTTCTCCTATTTCCTTTCATAAATACTGGGATTCCTACCTAGCATGTTGTACCTTGCAAGACCACTTCTGCGAGGCACTGTTGCAAATAGGAGTGACAGGGTTGCTTCACAAACAGATCATCTGAACAGTGCAAATCGACTTAGATAAAATTGGTTTGGTTAATCCTTCCTCTAAGAACAGGGCAACTTGCTCCAACTTGCAGATCTTAAAATAGTGCCAGTGGAGTCTCATAATTATGTCCAACTAGTGTTCTGAGTAGTGAACCTTTCCATTCCCTCCTCCCATAAAATCTGCTGACACCACAATTAAAAAGGAAACTACAGAAGATTGTCTTTTTTTTTTTTCTTTAAATCACTCAGCAAACATCATTGGCTTGACGAAGAGGAAAGAATACTGTCTTTGGTTGTCAGGCCCTTTAGAACTAAAATTTCTCTTTTTCAACAGGAAGGTAGAACCCTAAAGGCAACGACAGGGATGAGGTACAAAATTATGTCTCAGATGGCTGTTTTTAGAGATAACTGCTTGTTTTTGTGTGTTCATAGATCTTGCTGAATTTCTAGCTGTTAGCCATGGGACTCAGCTGCTAGAAGAAGCCTGAGTGTGCTCCAACTCCATTTAGTGTTGAGTTTTCCTTCTGTCTTTTGTGCAAAAGAAAGCTTTGAGTCTATGATGTGCCTCCTTAAGCTGAATGTCCAGTGTATCATCAAAGGATGAGGTGTAACATGTCCTAATGGATATAACACAGTTCAAGAGCTTTTAAAGGCACTTACTTCAATTTTTACACTTATTTATTTGTGCACATGTGTGTGCATATCAACATGAATGTGTGCCGTAGTGTGCTTGTGGAAGTTACAGGAAAATGTGTAGAAATCAGTTCCTTCCTTCCACCACATGGGTTCTGTGGATCAAACTCAGGTTGTCAGTCTTGGTGGCCAGGGATCTTATTAGCTGAGCCGTCTCCCTGGCCCTAAATAGAGCCACTTTTTGAAATTTTGGTACAAAGTCTGTATTGTGCTAACTGTCTCTATTTCTGGATCCTCAACAAATACTGTGTTCATTACTGAGTGGGACACAGAGGAGGCTAGGAAAGTGCTTCTCTCTGTGTTGAAGCATAGCATCAAGTGAGAAGTTCAGATGAGGGGTGGCGAGAGAAGAAAATCCTCCTTAATTATCTGTCCTGTGCAGATTGCTAGACCCCTTTACCCTCTCTCCTCCCCTTCAAGGGCTGATAGATGTGTCGTCACCCATTTTCATATACCAAAACTCTACTGACAGTTTTCTGTGAGCTGAAGACGTTTGTGTTCTGTGGCTTTTTCTGTCTGCTGCTTTTTCATCTTTTTGTTTTTTATGACCATAATCACATAACATTTTTGGTAGTCAAACTTCCAGATCCTGTATTTTTCCCTAGAAGGCCTGTAAACTGAGGAGGCTACTAGATGGCATAAGATGCTTCAAGTTAACATGGCAGAGGGATTTTGAAAACAAACAAACAAACAAACAAAAACATGATGACATCCCATCATCATTTGCTCTATGGGAGATTTGCCTGAATAGAATATACACTATGATGTTGGTTCAGCATAAATGGGTTAGAAAAGTGTGGGTTCTTGTCTCTCCACAGCATTCTGCTTGCCTGACCTTGGGCTTGGTCTCAGCCTCTTTCTGCAGGTCAGAGTCCTCTGGTTGTTGATGAACAGTATCCTCTGGCTCTGGATCATCCTCTTACAGAGACCAGATGATCCGATAACAAACCCATTATATAATGAAAACTCTTCCTGAAATCTAAAATCCCAATATTTTCAATTTGCTCTGATAAGAACATAATATGTGGGCATGGAAGACAATGTTAATTCAGGAGAGCAAAATGTGTGCATGTATATATATGTATGTACAGTCCAGAGATAGAAAAACGGTTTCTAGTCCAGAATCCTCTATCACTGTGTCTATAGTCTTTTGTTCAGTGTTGCTAGGATCCATGTGGTTCCCCGGAGAGTAGAAGCTTGATTTAAAATAGGCCTCTGTTTTCTGTCCCTTGTTACTGACCAGAACTTGGGGTCCTTGCAGCCTAACTTTCAATAAAATGCCCTACATACATACATTACAAGTTTTATTATGTAGAAGTGGAAATGACTGCCCATCCTGGTAGACCACTAAATACTTTAAAAAATCACTGAATATTAAAAAAAATTCATTGAAAAAGAGAGGATTGGAAACTCAGTCTTAAAATGGATGAACATCTGTACTAGTAGCGTAGGTAAATAAGTTTGTTCTTTATTTGGTCCCCAGCCTTATAACTTTGCCAGTGTAATCTTCATAACATAATGGTGTTATGAATTATACTTATAGTTCTTGTCAAACATTATAAGTTACCTCAGCAAATCCATTTTTGGTTACTTCAATTAATCATTTTTAAATAATATTTTTATTCTTTGAAAATTTCATATTTATACAATGTATTTTGATCATACTTTGATTAGTCTTTTGTATTTGTGGCAGACTTAGAACTTTTGGTTTTGCTATTTTGATAATCATTTTAATGATGACTACATTATATAAAATACTTGAAGTGTTAGGTTTAGGAGCTAATTATTGGAAGGAATTAGCATTAAATTCATGTACTATAAAATGCTAAGTAGGCTTTAATACCTATTAGGCAGGAACTGGATCAGGTTCTCTGTACCGGTCAGTAATTAACT